TAAAATTAAGAGAAATAAAAAATGAATCCCAAGATAAATTTAAAATAAATAGATAAAAGGATGTAAGGGATTAACGAAAATATACTTACGGAGATATTCAAGTAGGGGAAAGTTTATACATTATAATTAATATAGTATAAAAAAGGTTTTAGAGTGGGGGAATACAATATGGAAATTAAAATTAGTTTTTTGGTTGTGCTGTTGGCATTTGAAGACTTAGAGGGGAGTGATTTTGGGTAAGTAATTACAGTAAAAATATATTATGGAAATATGACAGCTAATTAAGGTAAAATTATATTATGGAAATTTGAATTTGTTATTATGTCGACATGTTATCACTAATTCATTCCTCTGATTCAATAGTTAGCTTTGATTGTTGTATTTTATTATTTTAATTTTTACTATCAGAAGTTCGTGCAGGACCTGAAATTTTCCAACTATCTGTGGGCTCAAACAAAAATTGAGAATTGAAGAAGGACGGTTTGAACAATCGTATTTGAAATAGACGTGCTGTTTTTTATTCCTCTTCCAAAAACTTTATTTATAAAATTTTCTCAAGTGGCCAGGCCGATAGGCGTAATACGTAGTTTTTAAAATGAAAAAAAGGGGGCGTCTTTTTCAAATACGGTATTCACGAAAAATAGAGTTCGAATATATCTATCAATATATCTATCAATATATATATATATATAACATACATGAGTGTGTATCCGTACAAATATATGTGTAGACCTAGGTAAGGATACAATAACAAACTCGAAAATAGAACTGATTGACAATGTTATATTTAGCTGTTATATATATATATATATATATATATATATATATATATATATATATATGATAAGTATATATATAATATATCTATATATATATATAGTAAATATATTCATATATATATATATATATATATATATATATATATATATATATATATATATATATATATATATATATATATATATATATATATATTACTCATTTTTTTAAACCTTGATGCTGATATCACATTCGGAAAACCGCTGCTTTCCATGTGATTTTTTCACCCACTTAGCAGGTACACATGCACACACGCGCGCAAACACGTACACACTTATACATACATACACATACACGCGCGCACAAGCACACGGAACAATTATAATTATGGGCAATTCCTAAATAATTTAACCCCTGAAAAAATGTTAGATTGCTGTCAAAACTCAATAAAAGATTAATTAAATCTTCCTTGTCAGCCTTTTTCAATGAAAATGCATGAAAGAAATGTTTCTGCCCAAATACGCATCAATATATATATATATATATATATATATATATATATATATATATATATATATATATATATATATTAGTTTGGTTTATTTTGTTTTACGGTATATCAACCTCAATAGGTAATATAATGCCGACAAGATTTTTAAGATAAATTCGTATGAATAGAGTATGTATTCTTTGGTTTAGATTGGTTTGGTTTATTTTGTTTTATGCCATATCAACATCAATGGGTTATTTAATGCCTACAAAAAAATTTATTGCTGGTAATATTTTGTTTTGTGAAAAATCTGTCTCTGGTAATATATTTCCTTCAAAATTGTCTAGCTGGTAATAATTTTTTTCAAAAAAGTATAGCTGGTAATAGTTAACTATTTGCCCATAGCTGGGACCCTAACAGGTGCTACCACCCCGGGTCAGGGTGGACCTGGGAACACCAGCAATTAAGAGGTGGTTCCACGATCCTCAAAACCTTCTGATCAGAGGCCTTGCTGCTGGATGTAGTTTAACGTCTTACCCAGGACTCTATATATATATTGATGCGTATTTGGCAGAAACTATATATATATATATATATATATATATATATATATATATATATATATATATATAGTAACTACATATAACTCCGTCAACAGTTTTATTTTCGAGCATCTTTCTACATATATATCTGTGCGGATACGCTTTTTGAACGTGTTTCCACTTTCGGAATTGTGTGTCTATATTTATATATTTGAGAATAGTTATGTAATTAGTTCATTAGTTCTGTTTCTGTTTCTGTTACACCCATGTACATGCAAATTCACCGAAAATGAAGGAAAAAGAAAAGAAAATCCGAAATATACAAGTACACTCAATGATACATAATAGATGCGAGCCTGTACCTAGCTAGCTCGCTAAATGAAATAAGGCTAGAAATGGCAAATTATTTAATGAGACACTCGTTTCTGCTTATAGTTCGATAACTTCTCCACATCAGATGAAATATCTGTCGGCAACAGGAGCAAAACATCATCCAGCTGATTATCACTCAACCTTGTTCGAAAAACGATTTTAGTATATTTCATTTTCGAAAAAGTTGTTCACAGCCATATGTACTTCCAAATAATGATACCATTCAATAGGCTTTTTTTCTTTTTTTTTTTCCGCTTGGCAAAACGGATTTTTGTAGAAGTCAGCAGTGAATTCACAATTACATTTTGATTTTAAAAATTCGTCACATTGTAAGTTGATACACCTTCTGAGAAATTTAACAATATGTCGACACGGAAAACTAAGACAAATTCTTAGTAAAAAAAAAAAAAAGTTACCAATATCCAGAAGGAGGCTTATACAAGATAGTTCCCTTTTTTAATATTTTCAATTTAATGTAACTAAAAAAAAACATTTCGCTTTAATCACACCCTGTACATGGATGTTTGTGTGTGCGTGGGAGTGTGTGTGTGTGTGTGTGAAAATCTCAAGTACCTTTAAGCAATACTTATTTCTTTTCCTTTTTTCCTTTTTAATATTTTGAATTTAATGTAACAAAAAAAACATTTTCCTTTAAACTTGACTCGATAATGTCAGATTGTCGAAACGCGTCGGAAATGACTAAGAAATATATTTCCAATTGTCTTCATTTTGTCCATATATATATATATATATATATATATATATATATATATTCATATGAAGAAATATAGTTATAAGGTGTGCTATATTTATGGAATAAAGTGTTCAATATCAGGGATAGAGCGTCTGTAAATACGGTGGCCTGATGAATGCGTCTAGCATGAAACAGTCTGTCGCATCTGAGTGTTGACTTCAGTGTTCACGTTTATATTTATATATATATATATATATATGTGTGTGTGTGTGTGTGTGTGTGTGTGTGTGTGTGATTTTTTGAGTGCGTGCGCGCTAAAGTTTGTAGATTTTAGAAATATACAATCCCCACCTTCACCTTCAGGCCTTCCTGTTCTTCTTTCTTCCATTACACGTCTCTCTAGAGCTTTCATACATTTCACTTTCAAACTTGTTTCCCACTCCCACACATACACTCTCACTAAAATTTTATTTTTTATTCCCAGAGTTATTTTTTCCGATTTCTTTTTTAATTTGTAGGTCTGATGAATTGGATTGTAATTACGATTCCAATGTAATAAATTATAACCATGGAATATTAGTGTTTGAGCTTTTTTATTATATTCTTACTCTGTCCTGGACATTGAGTTCTACCTGGATTCTATCCTCTTGGAAATATATATATATATATATATAGAGATATAGCATAATGAGAAGCCACGTATACTTTCTTAATATGTATATATAGAAAAAGTTTCAAATTAAAAATTATAATGTTTTATTTTATGAAAGTATTATATATAAATTTATTTTTATATATAATTTATATATTTATATATAATTTATATATAATATATATAATTATATATATTAATAATAAATTTATGAAAGTATTATATATAAATAAATAAATACTTTCATAAAAATAAAACATTATAATTTTTAATTTGAAACTTTTTATATATATATACAAATTCATGAATTATTCATACAAAACAAATGCAAAGGTTAAATTTAATTGGCGAGAAATCCATTAATTCAAATAATATACAAAATATTTATAGAAAACAAGGATGTTTTCATTCAAAACAGGTTCGGGGTTTTTTGTATATTATTTGAAATTGTTTATGACGATGGATTTCGCCAATTAAATCATTAACCTTATTTGTTTTTGTATGAATAATTCATGAATTTGTAAATTGATTGCACGTTTATCGAAATATATATATATATATATATAATTAATAATATATATATATTATATATATATATATATATATATATATATATATATATATATATATATATATATATTAATTAATAATAAATATATATATATATAATTAATATTAGCTCTGGATTTACATTGAGCTCTCAGGATTTCATCCTTCTTGGGATTACCCATACGGATTACCAAGTTCTTCATAAATTATATATATATATATATATATATATATATATATATATATATATATATATAATGCGAAATGGACAAAGTCCGACAATTATTTTAAGACATTTTTATTTTTATACATTCTTTTTATAGATACAAAACGCTTCCGTATAGGATACAGGTTCGAATATTTTCAGTGAAAATTTCTCGGACATTCAGGCCGGTAAATGTTGTTTAATACTGTTTATTATAAACAGAGCATTTGCTTAAATATTTATATCTATAAAAAGAATGTATAAACATAAAATGTCTTAAAATAGATAGATAGATAGATATTTATATATTTTTAATATATATATATATATATATATATATATGTATGTATATTGACCACTAATATTATCAATATATATATATATATATATATATATATATATATATATCTTTTTACTCTCTTAGACATACTCATTAATGCGTTTGAAGTTAAATTCATGTATACGTGACCGACGTAAATCTTTCTTTTTTTCTTTTTTCATTTAAATTTCTTCCTCTTATGCTCATCGACTCAGCACGTTTCCTTTCTTCTTTAAAACCTCAGCGTGCCGATGTCAGACTAGCGTTACAGTGATTAGATCAGATTTTACCTGGGGGTATTCAGCGCAGTTTCTTTCACTTACTTCTTTCTATTTTCTTTTTTTTTTTTTTTTTTAATGTTTTAGTTTGAATCTGAAACCTGAATGTCGATTGTGGAATGATATCGGTCTCACATCAT